ACTTAACAAATCCCAAACAAGAAAACCATGGACCATGATATTTACTATAGTAAATTGCAATTGATCGATCATCTACACGACTAAGTATAGATTCTTTCATATTTTCATTTTTTAAAGAAAAAATCAAGCTACCAGGCGCCGATGTAGATCCTTTTTCAGATTTCCAGCAAAGAGAATTATATCCACCAAGTATTTCATTTGAATTTTCAACCTTTGCAACAACTAGTACGCCAGGTATATCATAACATAATTTATGAAATATTTCAACATCGAATCCATCCCTACTACCTCTGAGTGACAGTTTAAACTCGTATGGAATTTCTGTAATATCATAGGTTGTTGAACGTCGATCAATCCAGGAAGAAATTTCTGCAGCATGCTCCGAAGTGATTATGAAAGAAGATATAGAAGATAATGATTTTCGAGGAGGAAGCTCAGTTGACAATTTTTTGCGAGGAGATAATATTGTAGAAGTAATCGGCTTATTGGGAGATACAAGCTTTTGAATAATATCATTCCACAAATTCTTTTCAAGTATTTTTTTATAAGGTTGTAATTGTTCTAAGACTTCATCACCAGGAATTTGAAAATACCTAATATGAGGCAAACAATTTTGAAGAGTAATTTTTAAAGATTTGAAATCCTCCTTATTCCATTGCTCATGATTAGAAGGTAAATTTGGAGTTTGCGTTTTTCCCCATAAAATAACTTTATCCCAAATCACAGATTCATCCAATTGTAAGTCGTCACGTTTTATAAGAGAAATTAAAGCATCCTCTTTAATAGTGGTAAAATCTTCAGAATCAAAAACCATATTTGGGTGGTTTACAATAATGTCATTACAAAATTGCTGCAAAGCTTGAAAATTTTTATTTTGAAAACTAATTTGATAAATGCGAGAAAAATTCAGACGAAGCCAAGAAGCATTATTTTCAATAAGGCAGGATTGAAGATAATCAACCGATTCTAAAATGTTAAATTCATTGAAGGTGATTAAGAGATCAAATATACCAGAAGCATCAAGGTCTTTTATGGAGAATTCACCGCCATAAATATATCTAAGAAATGTAAAACAATTAATTTTATTTATTTCTAATAAAGTTTTTATAATTATAACATAATCAAATAACTTACTTAATAAGAATATTAAATGTCACGGGATATTTTAATACTAATGATATTATTTTGTTTAGTCGGGTTTGCTAATTTTTGTTGAAAGTAAGAAGAGCGATGATATAAGATCGCAGAATGTGCTTTGAAAAGTTGAATATTCGGCTGTTCACCATCAATAATTGTATCATAATTGTATTCACTTTCAAGAAGTTGGGTAAAATCTTGTGAAAGCTTTTCATATAATTTTGTAGGCATTTGAAAGTCGTATGTACTGTACCGTACACAATGATAAAAAAGTACACTGATCACATTTATATGCAGTTTGAAATCTGATGAACGGCCAATAAGCTTTGTGTTTGCATTATTAATAGTTATGCGGTTAGTGTATAGATCACGTTGAGATGAAATACACGTTTAACTGTCGATTATATAAAAGATATTACGAATTAATTAAAGCTAATGAAGTTAATTCTTATATTTCATACATTATAATTAGGGATGTTATCCTGCTCCAACCTGTCAGCTTGTGCCCAAAAACCCGTTGGAACACTGTTTCGGAGCATTTACATCCCGAACTCAGTTTATACATATGTACTAATAAGTGTGCTTGCGTGAGCAATTCGATAAAACCTGCTATCGCTATTACTATTTATTAAAGCAAATACATAAATTACATTAAAAATATATAAAATTTTGAATTATTATGTTTATTGTATCTATTGCTATTATTTATTTATTAATTTATGCAATTAATTATGCCTAGTTATTAACCTTCATTACAGTTAATAATACCCGCATCATACCAGGCCTTTAGGCAGAGGCTTGCGGAGGCATTTTCTTCGGACAACCTGTTACGTATTGGGTTGATGGTATTTTTTGCTTTCGAAAATATTTTTTCGCTTGGTATTCTTGTCGCTTGTACGATCAAGTAGTTTCTTGACATTCTCGAGAGCCCGGAATAACGTATATTGGTGGATCATGTTTTCCAGAAATCCAAGAGATTACAATTTTCTTCAATGGTCATAAGGTATTCTTCAAGAACGTTGGTAGTAGTGTTCAACTTTCATTATGATGTTTTCTAAAGTAATTTCTTGGAGAATCACTAGTGCATTAGTAATAAATGAACCAGGTTCTTTATATTGCTCATAAACACTATATAGCTGCTCTTGTATAATTATTGCCGTTTCACCATTGAATGAAGATAATTTCATATTTGGGTCTAATGCGACTGATACGCTACAAGTTCGAAGAACAATCCAATAATCGTTAAGTTTTTTTATACATTTGTCGTGCAATTTAATTATTTATTTTATTTCACTATCGGTTTTAATAGTAGAGAGACCCGTTTCCATTAAATAAGGTTTATTGCAAAGTTTATATTGTCGTTTATCACCGATTTTAGTAAGTTCATCCCAGAAAGAGTCCTTTTTTAATCGTTTTGGGGGATAGTTTGTTATTTCCATAAGTGTTCCAGAATCAAGTGTATTTTGAGACATCGAGCTTGAAGAGGTGGGTTCAGTTGAATTAATAAACTGTTCAGATGTATTTCCTTCGTCCATCAAATAGTGAAATTTAGATAAAAAAAAAATGAAATATGTAAAAAAAAAAAATCTTATATTTATATTAAAAAAAAATCAAAAAAACTAATTGTCATCATATCTTGCAACAATAAATTAATTTTGTTCGTCATGACGATAGTAATTAAAAGTTTATTACAAATCAAGACTATTTTTCATTATCACACCACAATAAATCAATTTTAATTTAAAAAAATCAAACAACTGATTTTTGTTCGTCATAACGATAGCAATTAAAAGTCTAAAGTTTACGTTAATTACAAATCACAAACATTTTGCTCATCTGATCGATTTCAAACTCGGTCTGAGCATGAGGAGTTTAAATTTAATAATGAAAAATCATGTGACCACAAAAACTCGAGTTTCATCGGGTTTAGGCCCAAACAGGAGCCAAACCAAGTTCGGGCAAGCAGGATAACATCCCTAATTATTATAGTTTTGGATTCGAATTTGTCTTACAATATTTATATATTCAAATAATGATAACTTGCATTAAAAATTAATAAAAGCGAATTACTATGATTGTAAATAGAGATGTTATCCTGCTTGTCCAAACTCCTGATTGAGACCCAAACTGAGTTTCGGCGATCATATGATTTTTATTATATTATTTAAACTCCGTATGCTCAAATCGAGTTTGAAATCGATTAGATAGCACAATGCTTGATTTAACTTTAGACTTTTAATTCTATAATTACTACAATCATTGACGAAACATAGCTCCCCTCAGTTGGTTAATTATTATGGCATTATGTTGATATGATGAAAATTAGGCTTTTTTTCCTTTTTTTTTAATATAAATAAACGATTTTATTTTACATATTTTTATTTCGTAAAATGGATAAAGATTCATTTCTTAACCTCATTGAACTTACCTCTTCGACTTCTTAAAATACACTTGAATTGAATCATTTTCGGAAATAACAAACCACCCTTCAAAACGAAAAAATCAGATTCTTTTTGGGATGAACTTAATAAAACTACCGCTAAGTGACAATGCTAATCATAATAGAATTACTGTATAATAGTATTAAATACAATTGTAATAAATGTAGAGAAAGAACAAAACCCCAGTTTATTTTTTATTACTTGAACGTAATTAATTACAATACACGATATATTTTCTATTCTATTATCCTAATATGCTTTATTCATTATTTTTCGTTTACCTAAATAGAGCAACTATATATGAATTTTTCTCTGTATTACCTTGTGCATGTTTATAATTTAAGCTGAGAATGTGTAAATCTTTTTTATTTATCGCTGTTTGCAAAATACTGTGCTCCTGGTCAATTTTGTAGATTGCTGCACCCCTGATTGTTCGATTACAATCGATTGCAATCGATTGTATATGATTGTACATGATTGTGTGCAATTGTGCACAATTGTATGATTTATTTGTAAATGTATAGCAAAAACTAATATAAAAATAAAGCTTCTTTTTCATTTTGATAAATTATTATAGATGGTATTGAATACCTTATAGGTAGAGATGGGCAAAGCGAGGTTTCTTCAAAAATCTTGCATGTTATACATGGATCCCATGCGTGATCCATGCATGATTCGCGAGATAGTTACTGGGATTACTGTAAATTTTGGCCAGAATTATGGTATTGGCCCGAATTATTCTGTGTATCATGTGATGAATCACGTGTGGAATCTGCACGTTGCCCATCTCTACTTATAGGTACTTGTTACCAGTGCGCAAAATGTCTTTACTGCACACAAGATTCTTCAAAATTTTCATGTGAATGTGATAAAAGTATAACACCCACAACAAAAAATCATACAAAACTTGTTCCTTGGTTTTTTAAAATTTATTATAGTTCAAAATTTAATAACCAACAAATCGAAGCTCTAGAAAATTCGAAAAAAAAATATAATTATAATGTAGAGTTTATGAAAGATTTTAAATTTGCATTTTGTTCCACATGCAATAGCAAGTGGTATCGTATGGGTAAAGCCAAATCAACAAAATCAGATCTAGTTAAACCTAATCGTTCTACTAGAAATACAACATTTAATACAAATAAGTATATTACCAACATATCAGAAACTGACAATAATCATACAACTTTTAACACAAATAAGCATATTACCAACACATCCGAAGCTAAAACCCATTGATAATTATACAACTTTTGATACCGATACAGTATGTGACGAAATAGAAAATCTTTTATTGAAAAATTTAGAAGAAACAGATACTTATAGTTATGACAACAGTTAGATAAGCTAGATAATAAAAATAGTAAATATTAAAGCAAAGAATTTTTACTCAAACTAAGTATTAAAACTGAGGATAATATTATGTTACCTGCTAAATGGTCAACTATATTAGCAGATTCTAGCAATGAATTTCATAATCAAATACTTTTGGATATTCAATCCCAACTAAATAATATTGCTATTACTCAAGATGATTATGTCTTGATATATAAAGTGACAAAAGAAACTGGGGCTAGAATTCAAATTATTAATAAAAGAGATTTTGAAAGGTTTATTA